CAGACTGAGCTCACTTGTCACGTGCCTAAGGACACCAGCCCCAGTCTTCAGGGACGTAGGGCCCATCGGCTTCCATCATAGCACACCCAGGGTGTAAGCTCCTGGAGGGCAAGGTGCGCAACTTTGGATCCCTGGGCCCCCCGAGGGGAACTGGACCCTGGTATGGCATCCTTTGGTGTCTCTTCAGCTGTTCAGTTTCACTGTTAATTTCTACATGACTGCCTGTCAACGTGTGCTTTTTATCTGACACCAAGTAAGCTGAAAAGAGTTTTTCTGCGGCGCGCTGATAAGAATCTCTGAGTGAACGTAAGGGACTTGGCTTTTTGGGTTGTTTTACTTACACGGGTAGATTTGGAAATTAACCTATGTACTAGAATCAAACAGAAAGGAAGCAGAGACCCAAAGAGCAGTTCGTCGGGGTCCCTCAGCCAGCAGGCGGTCGGTCAGGCCTCCTCCCAGCCCACAGAGCTCCTATCACAGCTTGGTGTCCCACTTTTTAATATTCTCTGCATGTTTAACATTTTGAAAGGTACACAGGGTTAAACATCTTTTAGAAATCAGAGGTAGCTTATAAGACCAAATTTGAGATCCCCTGGTGTAATATACAAGGGTGGGCAAGAGTAGGTTTACATTGTGAGCACATGAAACGGTTTATCTTGTATTATTAATTAATTGTTTTATTATTTCCCATGCGAACAACTGTAAGCCTGCCTCTGCCCACCTGTACCTGCTAAGGAGCCTCCTTGTGTCCTCCTACAGTGTATGATCAAAGTTGACTGAGCATGTCATCCGTCATGTGACCCACAGACATGGGGCCGATTTCCTACGTGGCTTGTCTACAGCAGTTTTCAGACTTCTGCAGCCAGTTTGTCAGTTTTCCTTTAATTTCTCATATTGCCATGAGCATAACCAAAATATCTGTACATGTTTAAGTGGATTTGCATGCCAGGATCTGTTGGTTGTATATATTCTTAGGGGGAAATGGGCTAGAATAGGAAGTGACTGTTTGGGGGGGGTGTTAATAATATTACACAGAGCAGTCTCAGGACGGCTTATGGTGTTTCTTATGCTTTTCCAACATGTAATTTGATGATTCCTTTTTTTTGTTTGTTTGTTTGCTTTATTCAGAAAGAACTTGTGCATAACCTCTGCCTGGTGTCATTTTCTTTCAGGTGACTTTTCAGATCACCCCTCCGTGTGCCAGCGAGAGGCACTATGAGCATTTTGGACGGTGCTGTAACAAATGTGAGCCAGGTCTGTACTTCTGAGCCACCTTTCATCTCCCCTCAGGAGTAAAAGGGCTTTTTTTTTTTTTTAATCTAAGGAATGATTTCTATCTGCCAGATGAAAAAAAATAATTATAATGAGACCTGGCTGGTGTGGCTCAGTCGGTTGAAGTATCATCCTGTACACTGACAAGTCACAGGTTTCTTTCCTGGTCAGGGGACATACCTGGGGGTTTGGTCCTGGTTGGGCCATATGTACAGGAGGCAACTGATCAATGTTTCTCTGTCTCTCTTTCTCCTCCTTCCTCTCTAAAATCAATAAACATATCCTCAGAAGAGGATTTAAAAAATAATAATTGTTATTATAATGACCTATAATAGTAATGCAACTATTGGGACTGTTATGAGTATTGAATAAATTAATGCATATGTACAATTTAGAATAGTGGCTAACCAACTGTAAGCACACAATAAGTATTACACACACACACACACACACACACACACACACACACACACGTGTGTGTTTACAGGTCTTAAAGCCTGTATATATTTTTTATGTTATTTAATTTTTTTATTGATTTCAGAGAGAGGAAGGGAGAGGGATAGAGAGATAGAAATGTCAATGGTGAGAAAGAATCATCTATTGGCTGCCTCTTGCATGCTCCCTACTGGGGATTGAGCCTGCAACCTGGGCATGTGCCCTAAATGGGAATCTGAACTGTGACCTCCTGGTTTCTGGGTCAAGGCACAACCACTGAGCCACACTGGCTGGGTGAAACCTGTAAATTTTTACAGGTAATTTTTTCAATGTTGAAACAATAAAACTATCTTAATAAAATTTTCCCATCACATTTTAAATTAGGATATTTCTGGATTGCCACAATTAATTTATTTTTTAGCAGAGGTATTCTAGCTGATTGTGGGAAAGTTTAAACACATCAAAAATAAAAATTTTCCTTCAATTGATTATATCAGTAAATTTATATTATCTTTGATGGAAAGAGGATTATGTCACTCGATGTCTTTAAATAATGTAGTAGGAAATAAGACAACAGAAATATTTTACATGATCAATAGAATAAACTATTACAGTCTTAGTTACCATTTTTAAATAACTTTCTTCCTGGGAGAACTTTTGTCTTTCTCCAGTATTAGTTGTGTTATCAGTTTTTTTTGTTTGTTTGTTTGCTTTATTCAGAAAGAACTTGTGCATAACCTCTGCCTGGTGTCATTTTCTTTCAGGTGACTTTTCAGATCACCCCTCCGTGTGCCAGCGAGAGGCACTATGAGCATTTTGGACGGTGCTGTAACAAATGTGAGCCAGGTCTGTACTTCTGAGCCACCTTTCATCTCCCCTCAGGAGTAAAAGGGCTTTTTTTTTTTTTTTAAATCTAAGGAATGATTTCTATCTGCCAGATGAAAAAAGAAATTGGATGGACTTTTTATGGTAATGGCAGGTGGTAATGTCTGTCACTCTGAAGACAAAAACCTTTCTTTCAGAAGATAAAATCACTTAAAAATGAAAAGCAATTTCATAAGCTGGTACTTCATTCATGCTGGAATGCTATTTTCCAAAACACTAGTTCTTGAGAAAAAAGAAAGCATCTAAAAGCATGTTTTAGCACTTTGTGATTCAAACTCTCAAAATAAGAAATTCACCTCTTATTGAAAAGTACTATCACATTAAAAAATTGGGGGTAGGGGGAGCCATACTGGAATTGTTGCTGCTGAAATTGCCTAAACCCTGTTATACCTTCTCCCCACACATATACCTGCTGAGGAGCAGAAGGTGGGCTGGTGACAACGACTTTCCCAAACTTGTTCTGCCAGAGTGTGGCCACACATTTCTATAGCCCCAATGAACTCCCAAGTCCACGGGGTCCTCATTCACTCATTGCTCTGGGGAGGAGAGCGCATCTTTGAGGAAAAGGTGGTTAACAAGACCCTCAAGCATGTCAAAGCCGGGGCCTGTCCATGAGTTTGACATGCTTGCGTAGATATTTCGGCTACAAATATTTCTTGGATGTGCAGAACGAAGATCCAGTGTGTGTGTGTGTGTGTGTGTGTGTGTGTGTGTGTGTGTCCAGATTGACAGTAGGGGACATTCTGAAGACAGGAGGGGAGGGATGAAATGAAACCCCTCATGCTTAGCCCCCAGGGAATCCCTCAAGTTCTACAGGCCCCAGTTTGAAAACCCTTGTTCTTTACCTTACTCAGCAGAGGTTTGGCGTGGAAAGGGTTATCTTTCCCATGGAAGAACTAAAAGACCCCTGTGACCACAGGCCCAGCAGCTCAGAGAGGCTATTTCAGCCAGCTGGGAGCCTGAGGAGCCTCACTGGGAGATGTGGCCCTGTCTCCTGTATCACACTGTCTCTTGGGGACTTCCTGGGACCCTGGTCATGTAAATGGTCCAGTAAATTGGTGCATTTTTGTGTGTGTTTTTGGGGGGATATTTTTGATTAGTGCATTTTCCCCCTTCTAATTTAAGGGACGTACATGTCTGCCAAGTGCACTACTACCTCGGAAAGTGTGTGTCTGCCCTGCGGCCGGGATGAATACCTGGACACCTGGAATGAAGAAGACAAATGCTTGCTGCATAAAGTTTGCGATACAGGTGAGTCAGTCATGTCAGCGGGAAGTGGGGATAATGATATTTTCAGATTCAGCAGTGCTGTCTTTGGGGGACAGAGGAAGGAGTTCTGACCACAGCAGGATGGGCTTCAGCTCCCAGCAGCGCCTTGTTAAAATTCTTCTCTGAGAACTTTTGTTCTGGACTATGTTTGTGTTGCAGTTTAATCATGGAACACATCTTAGAGTTGACAAAATATTTCCCCAGTATTTCCATGTGTGTTGTGTTATTCAATCCTCACAAAAACCCCTGTGAAGTAACCACGATAATCTCATTTTAAAGATAAAGAAAACTGAGACTGATAGAGGTTAAATGACTTCAAGGTTATCCAGTGCAAAGCAGGACTCCCAGTCAGGTCGTTGGACTCTCGAGTCTTTTTCCTAAACCAGGGGTCCTCAAACTACGGCCCGTGGGCCACATGCGGCCCGTGGAAAACATTTATCCGGCCCGCCGGGTGTTTTTGCCGCCGCTGCCTGTCCTGCTTAGCAGCCGACTCGTCCCGGGCCCGCAGTGTGCATGTGTGGAATGTCTGAGGGACAGTGAACTGGCCCCCTGTTTAAAAAGTTTGAGGACCTCTGTCCTAAACGATAAATGTCCTATTAACTCGACAGTTTGATCTCTTTATCAGTCTGCTGTGGTTTTTTTGCCTCAAATTTTTTAAAATTATAGTTTATTTTCAGGAATCGGGATCAAAATATGCCTCTTAAGTCTCAACCTACAGGTTCCTTTCCTTCTTCCTTTTTCCTTTCCCATTCAGTTTATCTGGGAGAAACCTGTTGTCGGTCCGGTGGTTCCCACAGCCTGGTTGCTGCTGGTTGCACCCCCTTGGTGCTGTTTAGCCTATTCTTCCGTCTTCTACATTTCTTGTAAAGTGGTTGTGAGATCTAGAAGGCTGCTCAGATTCTGATTTGTTTTTTTGTTTTTGGCAAAACTCCTTCGTAGTTGGTAAAATGTAGTTATGTCAGAAACCATGTAACAGCTGCTTTTCTCTCTGTATGTGATATTAGCAGCTATTGACAATCATGAACTAGATCCATTTTCATTAGGCAATGATCCAGTTCTATCATTCCTTCATTTCTTAGCTGGGATGGTTTGTAAAGGGAAACTCCCCCCATCAATGATTCATTACCCTGAAGTACACTATGTACAGGAAAGGTGGAATGAATGCTGCAGCTTTGTTTACCACTTTTCAAAACAGTGACTTGATCATCCAGCTTTCTCCAAAGGATTTGTATGAATATTATGAACTCATGAATGCAGACATCTTTGAGGTGTTTCGGTCTACTGCAGTTATTAGTTTTCCTGGTGCTCAAATTGTCCCACCTCCAGGTGGCCCCACCTTTGGTACACAACCCCAGGTGTCTTTTTATTTTTATTTTTTATTGATTTCAGAGAGGAAGGAAGAGGGAGAGGGAGAAGAGAAACATCCATGATAAGAGAGAATCATGGATCAGCTGTCTCCTGCAAGTCCCCCACTGGGGATTGAGCCCACAACCTGGGTTATGTGCCCTTGACCGGAATCAAACCTGGGACCTTTAAGTTCGAAGGCTGACGCTCCATCCACTGAGCCAAACCAGCTAGGGCAAACCCAGGTGTCTTGAAGAGCTCCCTTGCTTCCTGGCTCACATTGGACATTTCCTGCCCTGCACTTGGAACCAGCCATTTCTCTAGGAATTCCTGATCATTTTCTGCAAAACATCTTATTTAGAGATCTTGACCTGGGTGCTGTGGAGGCTCATCGGTTCTGGATTGACTCTTATGTGTAGGTTTTTCTCTTTCCCAGTGGAAAGAACTAGGAAATAAATATTTTTTAAACCATAATTTTCCTAATGTGTTAGAGACAGCTGGCAGGTTTTGTTTGGAGAAGATAACATGGAAACTCCACTGAGCAGAAGCATCTGATCAAGTCTCTTTTCTTTCCCACGACTTAGTAATGACCTTGACTCATTGCTGTCTCTTGGAAATAAAGAATCATCTGTCTACTGCCAAAATTGATTAAAGTGCAAAGCCTGGTTCATTAAGATATTCAAGGATATGCCAGGCTTACATTCACTTGCATTTGAGTGCGATACTGGAATTAGAATTTTTCAAGGACGCGACAGTATCTGTGTGTGTTCCAGGCATCATGCGCTTATTTATACACACTGGCCTTGGTGTCACTGAGCTGGCCTGGACCTCAGAGAGTGGGCCTGGAGGGAATGGTGATTTCTCCAGGTTCACCATACTTGGGCCCAGGAATGGGGATAAGAAATGTGTCCCTCCCCTCCCCCTGTTTCTGGCTGCCACTTAGTTAAGGCTGTTTCTTTTTCCCATGGAACTCTGCTCTAGTTAGTTCAGGCTGTTATAGCAGAAATCCACAGACTGAGTGGCTTAAACAACAAAAATTTACATCATCTAGTTCTGGACGCTGGAAGTCTGGGATCAGGGTGCCAGTATGGCTGGGTTCTTGGTGAGGGTCCTCTTCCTGGTTTCAAGATAGCAGCATTCTTGTTGTGCCCTCACATGGCTGAGAGCAGAGATGAAGCAAGCTCTCTGTTGTCTTTCTTACTGAGGGCACCAATCCCATTCTTGAGGGCTCCACCCTCATGACCTAATCACCTTCCGAAGGCCCCACCTCCTAATACCATCATCGAGGGTTAAGAGTTCAATATAGGAATTTTGAGGGGACACAAACATCAGTCCATAACAAACTCCGAGAAGTATTCAGGACTATTCGGTACAAGGGCTGTTTGGACAATCCGGGTGAGATGTGTCCCACAGGGTAGAAGGGCTGTTTTAAGTAATGTTGTTGTACTGTGTTGTGTTTTTGTGCAGTTGATTCTCACTGTTTGACGCAATTATGTTCTATACAATCACCACAAACACTGAACTAGCAAATACTGAACTGCTGTTCCCAGGAGAAATACGGGTTCCCGTGAGCCTCTGGTCACAGTGTTTTTGTCAACTGATCAACATATAACCTTGTTTTATGTGTGTTTGTGTTTAAGGACAATTTATGTAATAAATACTTTGACTCATTAACATTAGACTCACAACCAAGAGTGCTGTAACTCATTCCTGAACCAAGTTTTTCTAACACACATTTTCTCCTTAAGACACATCGCAGCCTCCTCGGGCTCAGAAGCACTGGACAGTGCCTAAGCGCTGCATTTGGAGGCCATTTTAAACAGTGAAATCACCAACAAAAAGGACAAAAATGCAACAACAACAAAAAAATGTGGCACAAAATATATCATGATAAGGACACTCGTTCATAGCATGAAAGCTAAAACAAGTACTGCATGGTTTTGTTCGACCTCAGCTGACTCGCTTTTAATTAGGAATTTTTATGCACAAAGCACCACTCAAAATTTTTGCCACCTCAAGAACTCTTTGAATATTGACTTTGGGGTTACAATTTTTGTGAGTAGACAAATTTGCAATTCAGAATCAGCAAATAAAAAGGATAAAATAAATAAAATATATTTAGGGGCTAAAAGCCTTTGTTTCTGTCACCTCCTTTAATCCTAACAAAACAACACTTGAGAATGAGCTTCAGAGAGATTATAAAGGTCACAAAGCTAGTCACTGAACTTTGGTTTTCCCTTTATTTTAGACATACCTGTCGTGAAATCCCCCCACACACCCCTACCCTTTATTGGTGTAAGGTCCCATGAGTTGCAACACACGCATTGACCCTTCTAAACTACTCCCATTAACAGGATACAGAACAGTTCCAACAATCCAAACATCTTAGGCTTTTGTGAGACCGGTCGGTTTCTGGCCAATCCCGGCTCAAGACCACACTCCTTCTTATCCTGGAACCTAAACCCAAATGGCTGGTACCGGGTTGAAAAGCTTGCTATTCAATGGCTGAGGTGAACTCCCGCCCCCGGGCCCGAATATGTTCAGTTCAGGCTGGACATTTCCCTTTTGCAGTAGCACGTTGCCCGGCTACCACTGGAGCGAGGACTGTGACTGCTGCCGCCGCAACACCGAGTGCGCTCCCGTAGGAGGCGCCCGGCACCCGGGTATGGGGTTGCTTCCCGCGTCATCCTCTCTCACCGAGTCCTGCAGTCACCTGGAGGCCAAAGGTGCTAAGACGCGGCTACCACTGGAGCGAGGACTGTGACTGCTGCCGCCGCAACACCGAGTGCGCTCCCGGCTTAGGCGCCCGGCACCCGGGTATGGGGTTGCTTCCCGCGTCATCCTCTCTCACCGAGTCCTGCAGTCACCTGGAGGCCAAAGCCGGTGCTAAGGCGGCTTCCCTGCGTCATTCACGCTCCGGGGAGCCCGGTGGTGCTGGAGGAGCTTGAGGGTCCCCTGAGAACGGAGCCCCAGGTTTGGTTCTAACAAGGACACGTGAGCGCCTGGCCCACATGCTGGTCTCCAGGCTCCTCCATCTGCGGAGCTTTATGCTCCCCACTTAGGACGGAACTCGATAATGCAGGGGACCTCCAACTGTTTCAAAAAAACAAATGTGTGCATCCGCTTAGCAGAATTTTGAAAAAATCATGCACCCTCCTAGCATATTTTTGACTTGACAGCTCAAAATTTTTATTACGAATTTAAAGAGTTGCTAAGTATTTAGTTTCCAGGGAAGGATAGCAATAGTAACACTTCCTAAATTTTTCAATGGAGTATCAACACCGTAATCTATTTTAAAATGCGCTCATTGCCTCACCTGTGGGAAAGATATAGTTCTTCGCCCTCCTTTGATTTGTATTCATTTCGCCTTCCCTGCAGAATTCTATCCTGATGTATTTTTGTGCTTGGAGGGTTTTTGCTAATCACCTTTCATACTCTTTCATATCCAAAATTATGCACCTATTTGAAATCTTAAGTTTTAAAAAATTTCTTGTGACTCCAGGTTCTAGGGGTTAAAAACACTTCTTCTGGACCAAATTGTTACTGCAGGTATTACACAATGATTGGTCAAGGGTGAATATATTATATTTTGCTATATTAAAGTCTTTACAAACTAAAGAACAAATGGAGTTTTTTCCCAATTAGTTCATATCTTCTGGGTTGAATACAGCTTATTGCTAAAATGCAACAGAATTCAAGCTCAATCCTGTTCCCACTAAGTGCTGAGAAACTTGTTCACATAAATAGCTAAACAGCTAAGAAAGGACTCCTGTGACAAGAGTTCCTCAATTCTATCAGCACTTTCTGAGTGACATGTCCCAGATCACACAGTGATGTGACATCAACGTGGTGTTTAACGATTGCTCAGTTAAGAACTCAACTGTGTCCTTCAGTTTTGTTGAAAGTAAATAAGTAGAAATAATCTTTTTGACTCAGAAAAGTGTTTCTTAGCGTCACTTACATCCTGACTTCTAGGAAGTATACCAAAGCAGTTTCTTTAAGACGTAACAACTTACTAGTATTTATACCTGTTAATCTTTCCCTTGGAGGCATTTTTTTTTAAAACCCAGAATACTTGGACAGGGTTAAGAGAATTAAAATATTATTCATTTCAGTTTATAATGAGGAAAGTGTTCGTCAGAGAATCTAACTGGTATAGTCAATCCTGAGTATCTAATATATCAAGTAAACCAGACAAACTTTCTCTTAAAAAAGTCTGACTTGCTTTTTTTAAAAATAAATTTTTTATTTTTCAATTACAGTTGACATACGATATTACATTAGTTTCAGGTGTACAACAGTGACCAGACATTTATATAACTTACAAAGTGATCATCCCCAAGTTGACTTGATTTTCCAATTTTTAAAATGAGTCTCCCTGTGACAGCCGGCTCCCTTCTGAATTCTGATTCTCAGATAGACAAGGCCGAGAGCCTTTCTGCAGGTTTGTCACCTGCATGAAAAAAGGTGCTGTCCCCTTCTCTGCTTCATTCCTGACCGATGTTCTCTCCGCCTTGCTCCTGTGGGAATGGGTCCTTCTTTGGCAATAGATGGAGGACACAGGGGATGACATGAGTGAATGAAAATTTCCCTCCTGCCCTATCTTGCACTGTACAGTTGACCCTTGAACAACACAGGTCTGAACTGCACAGGTTCGCTTATATGCAGATTTTAAAAACTTACAGTATTGATAAATACAGTACAGTGTTTATGATTTTTATTTTCTTCAGAACATTTTATTTTCTCTAGCTTATTATAAGAATACTGTATATAATACATATAACCTACAAAATACATGTAAATTGTTTATGTTATCAGTAAAGCTTCTAGTCAGCAGTAGGCTGTTCATAGTTAAGTTTTGGAGGAGTCAAAAGTTGTACGTAGATTTTTGACTGCACAGGGCGGGGTCAAAACCCCTAAATTCCACATTGTTCAAGGGTCCATGGTATTTGAATTGAGAACAAGCCCACCTGGTCCCAGTTACCCTGTTTCTATGGTCGCACTTTTGTCCTTAGATAGGGAGAGACAGTACTGAGAGACTCTGAATGCAGGGGCTCTGCCATCACCAGTATTTCTACTTGGTGCTCCGTTTGGCATCTCAGAGGTTTGGCACCAACCCAGGATTTGGAGTGGGGAAGAGGGTGCCTTCTTTTGTACAGTGGGAGCAGTGTGATTAGGGAAAGGAACGGGACAGGGAACTTGCAGGATGCCCCCTGGCAGGTCAGTTACAAGGAACAGATCTGGAAGCCCAGTCAGCGGAGGGAAACCAATGAACTTTGAGCTCTGCTGCCTTGTAGCCCCTTAAGAAGTCTCTTTGTTTTTAAGGGTTGCTCTTCTAGAGCATGTTTATCTTTTGAAAAGCTGTTTGAATTTATGTGAGTTGACTAGATGTTAACTGTGCTTTTGTTAATATCATTTTAAGGCAAATCAAATAGATTAAGTGGGGGAGGTATCCTACTTATTGAGGCAGTTGCAGAAATCAAGAAGATACTTCCCACTTGACCCTGGAAAAAGAACATGTAATTTCTTATTTTAGTGTTTTATTCATGAAAGTAATCACAGAAGTGCTACTAATTTCAAGAGTAATTTGTGGTTTTGGTGCAAGTCAGTTGCGTGATCATGATACCCCACATAGTAGTCAATGTTCTTTATTGGAATTCCCAAAGGTCTACACATGTCAGCAGCTAATAGACATAGGAAATCTGAGACATTTCCTATTTTAATAATATGGTTTGCAAGGAATATGAGGGTGCTGAAGAAAGCTTGCGAAGCAGGATCAATTCCTGCTTTCAGTGCTGTGGCTTAAGGCAGGGGTCCAAAATCCATCCTACCACTTGTGTTTGTGTAAATAGTCTTATTGGAACACAGCCACATCCCACATCCCTTTTTTTTTTTTTTTAACATATTGCCTATGACTGCTTTCATGCTACAAGTATTTGCAGCAGAGACTAGAAGGCCTGCAAAAGATATTTACCATAAGGTCTTTTATAGAAAAAGTTTGCTACCAGCCCTTGGTTTAATAGAAAGAGACCTGTAGGAGTTTTTTGTTTTGTTTTTTTAAGAAAACTGTTGTCACTCACATGCTTGAACTGGTGAGATTAAGCTGGTCAGAGAGGTCAGGTCAAGAAGTTGTCCTTAAAAGCAGTAAGAGGACTGCCACTCTCTGTGGATCAAGGTTAATGTAAGTCCAAAAGGCTGAAAGGGGAGATCAGGCAGGTGCGTGGTTAAAGCAAGTAGACAGCAGGCTCCCCGGCTAGGAAACAGAGTATTAGTGACCAGGACAGTGGTTCTGAACAGCTAAGGGTCAGGACCTAACTCAGATACTGGCATTAGTAGCCTGAGACTGAGCCAATTACCCTCCTGAACATAATAAACCTGAACCTACTGCTGGGATGGAAGGCCCTGTGGGGGCTGAAGCAATGAGCCACAGGCAGCGAGGGCAGGGAGTGGGGGGAGGTGAGAGGCAGAGGGACCACCATCCTGGCCGATATCTAAGTGTCCTTGTTTGGCTTTTGTTTGTTCTGTTTGTCCTTTTGTTTTTTTGACAGTGCAGCTCAACAAAGACACGGTGTGTGAGCCCTGCCTTGTAGGCTATTTCTCCGATGCCTTTTCTTCCACAGAAAAATGCAAACCCTGGACCAAGTAAGTGACAACGAAGGAGCCCGGGCAGTGTGTTGATTTTAAGTAACTCAACCTCCACGTTCTTGTTTGGGTTGGACACAGACTGTTTGAGTTTTGTGAGGCTTCCCCTTGAAGCCACATTCAAAATGGGAAAAGCCTGTCAGTTCAGTGTGGGCAAAATAAACCCGTCCAACCAGCCTTCAACCTGGTGTGACTTACATGCCTTACTTTCTAGATTCAGTTTGGCTTCATCTTTGACTTAGAGTTTCCGCCTCCTTTTTCCCTTTTCTAACCTTACGTAGTTGAAAATGATTGATGACACTTGTTATCATTCACTAATGCCCATCACCGCCCCCCCACACACATTCTCCTAACACCACTGCTTTATTGTCCAGAGATGTGTGTATGTGCATAAAGAAGACGCCTGTTTACATAAATGTTCGCATACTGTAAACACCATGGTTTTTTTCACATAATATATCTTGAAGGAAGCTCATTCCATATTAGTTCACTTAGATCTTCATGGCTTTTTATAGATACCTAATATTTCATTGTAGAGATGTGCCGTAATTGAGTTAATAAGTTTCCTAGTGATAGTCATTTAGGTTGTTTCCAGTCTTGTGCAGTAATTAATCATTTTAAATGAATCACCTCATATATACTATTTCACACTTATGTTAGTGTATCTATAGTGGAACCTGGGTCCTTTCATTACATAATGATTCTTTCAGTTCCCAATATATGAATTCTCATTAAATATTTATTTCCTAATCCACTTATCCAAGTTTTATGTTGACAAGGTTTTCTGTGTTTTCAACTTCTAAAGAGCATTCATCAAAAAAGTGTATCAGTGCCCAGCCAGTGTGGCTCAGTGGTTGAGCATCAATCCATGTACCAAGAGGTTACTGGTTTGATTCCTGGTCAGGCATATGCCCAGTTTTTAGGCTCGATCCTCAGAAGGGAGTATGCAGGAGGCAGCCAATTGATGTTTCTTTCTCATCGACATTTCTCTCTCTCTCTCCCTCTCCCTTCCTCTCTCTCTAAAATCAATAAGGACTTTTTTTTTTTAAGTTTATCCCCTGGCAATTGAAGCATTTGGAATCTTCTATACTGAAGACACCAATCTACTGTCTTTTGGGCCATACTCTTAGAAAACACTGGCAGTATTTACTTTTGTTCATTCATTTGTCCACTTGGATGATGTGTGGACAGGCACTGGGGATCCAAATGTCCAGAAAGATGGGTTCCTCTCCTGAAGGAGCTAGCAGTCTAGTGGATTAGAACCTTTGTTTCTTTTCTTGAAAAATAAGAATATAAAATGGAAGCACTTAACTCCCACAGCTGTACCAGTCTTGGACAGATGGAAGTACGTCACGGGACCAATAAGTCAGACGTGGTCTGTAGTTATTCTCTGCCGTCTACAGAACTACCCAATGGTATGTTTATTTTTTTACTTTTTATTAAATTTATTGGGGTGACACTGGTTAACAAAATTATACAGGTTTCAGGTGCACGATTCCACAACACATCATCTGTACAATGTATTATTGTGTGTTCACTATCCCAAGTCAAGTATCCTTCCATCACCATTTATCCCCCTATACCCTCTTCTATCCCCCTTCCTCCATGCTATGCTTAAAAACAGCAGGTTGCTTGGTAGATGTGTCTCGGTCTAGTCAGCTCTTATAGATTCCCCCAGGTTACCTTCCATATCCGGAGGGCTCATCTCTCCCTTTCTATCTCATCCCATCCACAGTTAGGTTAATATTTCATTTTTGTCAGTATTTTGATTCTAGATATGTTGTTTATGTGATAATATTTTACTCTGGAATGGAGAACTAATAATGTATTTATATGTATAAAAACAAGAAAAGAAAAGAAAAGAAAACTGATCTGCAAACATAAATTAAAATGCCCAAATATAGTAGGCTGGTGATGGTCACAGTACGAGTGTCTATGGGAGATTTTGGTCACCAACCAGAATTAGCAACTTGTTAGACTATAGCTATCATTTGTAGATCAAATTAATCTTGAGTATGGTGTCAAAGAGTGATAGAAAGTGACAGTTAATAGTGGCTGCTGGTTTTGCAGGTGAGTGAGACGGTTGGAGGTGGGTCCAGATATCACAGCACATGGGATGGCGTACGTGTAAAGAAGACCTTTCTAATGAAGCAAGAGGACCTGAGCCACAGAAGAACAGGGTTAATGAACTTTGACTAAGAAAATTGAGGGTTTAGATTTGACATTTGGGGAGACAGAAGATGGTGATTGAAGATGCCAGTGTTAAGGTTCTGGATATGGAGCTACACAGTCAGAGCAGCATTTTTAAAAGACCATTTTTTTGAAGATAATACGAAAAATAACCAAAGGAATAAAAACAGCAACCCTGGTGCCTGTGGTTATTTAAAAAGAGGTATGATAAGGGGCTTCCTTTTGCCTCAGAGGCCAGTCCCCTGGGGAGACTGAAGTGTCCATAGGTAAGCAAAGATGGAGCTGGATGGCCTGGTAAACAGGATTTGAGTTATTCTAAGTAGAAACATTTCAAGATGGTCCTGGACTGACCTCACTGGAGTGATGCTGGACAGTGGGACTGGGCCATGCTGGTGACTCCACCCTTTGGAACATGAGTGTTCTGTGACAAACCTGCAGTCAGGGTCGGGGCCTTCACACTTCTCTTATTCCAGACCAGAAGCCTTGATTCTGGGGCTTGATGTAAAGGGTTTTGTTTTTGAGCTTAGAGACAAAAATGAAATCACCTTTAATTCCATTTTTAAACCTTTTTCTGATACAGAGCCCCAGATTTTCTTGCCCAGTCTGATCATCCTGCTTCTCTTCGTATCTGTGGCATTAGTCGCTGTTGTCATCTCTGCTGTTTACTACCGGAAACAAGGGAAAGCACTAACAGGTATGGTGTCTATGGGGGATTTTGAAAATGAATCTTAAAAATAGATACATTTCAAGGTATATGCCTTGGAAGATGTGTATGTTGCCTGTTGACTACATCCAGTGATCTGCTAAAAATAAGTGCCTTGAGGTGGTTGTGCTTAAACTAAGATCAAACACCCTTTATGCCCAATTCATTGTTCTCTGGCAAAACAAATAAAATCCATTGTGCTTATTTATGTAGAAGTAAATACAAATACTCTAGGAGAAAGATTGTCATAGTAGTTATGATTATTATCTCTGTGCACAAATATTTTGGCACCATTTGTAAGAGAAAGATTGTCATAGTAGTTATGATTATTATCTCTGCACAAATATTTTGGCACCATTTGTAATTGTCTGGTACTAATCTCTACAAGGAAAGAGCTACAATTTTCCTTTTATTTGGAGTACCTTTATTTTTATGTAATTTTATAATAATGAAATAATAACGATGATGATAGCAATAACTGACATGTATTGACTATTTATTCAGTAAATGCATACACTGCTGTATGCATTTTACTAGTACATGTACTAACTAAATCTCCCCAACAGCACTATGAAGTAGGCACTGTTATTTCCCTGGTTTCATGATGAGGAAACTGAGGCTCAGATAAGTTAAGTAAACTGGGCAAGGCCACATCATAGGTGCCATTAGCTATGATTATTACTTGATTATCTTCTTATGGAGAATTGACAACCCATGAATTCAACATTAGAATTCAGTGGAGGTGGAATAAAATTTTATTTTTGTATGATATAATTTCATAGTTTTTTTTTAATTCATGGATTTGACTTTTTAAATTATATCATGTCTATTTTAGTGAATTCAACATTAGAATTCAGTGGAGGTGGAATAAAAGTTTATCTTTGTATGATGTAATTTCATAGTTTTTTTTTAAAATTCATGGATTTGACTTTTTAAATGTTATCATGTCTATTTGGAAAAGTTGATGGGGATATAATTTGTATATACCACAGAACATATTCTTTTTTCCTGAGAAGCAACAGAGTATAGTGGAAAAAGATTTGGGGCCTGCTGGAACCCAGTGGGGTCTGCCGCAGCCTTCCAACATGCACCTGACTTTTATTGTACGTATATTTGAGCTGGTTCACTGGAAAGTCACATCTCCACCACATTGTCTCCTTTCCCCTACAATGCCCACCTAGGCCCTTGTAGTCAAAGATTAATTGCTAAGGGTCTGAGAGTGACTTTCTTCCTATCAGCAGTTCTGATACACTCAAATGTGCCCCAAGGTATTCAATGCAACATTAGTATATCATATTTGGCTTTGCATGGATCAGAAAGTTTTGTTTTGATGGAGCATATACCACAGAACATATTCTTTTTTCCTGAGAAGCAACAGAGTATAGTGGAAAAAGATTTGGGGCCTGCTGGAACCCAGTGGGGTCTGCCGCAGCCTTCCAACATGCACCTGACTTTTATTGTACGTATATTTGAGCTGGTTCACTGGAAAGTCACATCTCCACCACGTTGTCTCCTTTCCCCTACAATGCCTACCTAGGCCCTTGAAGTCAAAGATTAATTGCTAAGGGTCTGAGAGTGACTATCTTCCTATCAGCAGTTCTGATACCCTCAAATGTGCCCCAAGGTATTCAATGCAACATTAGTATATCATATTTGGCTTTGCATGGATCAGAAAGTTTTGTTTTGATGGAGCAGGATGGGTAAGATGTCTTTATAGTGTTTAAATAGGTTGATTTTCTTTTGAATGTTTTCACTTTCAAGAAGTCCCTCTGAAAAACGTACAGAGGGTTATGTATAAAGATAATACTGAACTGACATAGTGGTCAGTGATATTGAATTAGAAATAGGAAGTACTATGAAGATCTTATCTTTGCTTTGTTTTTCTAGCTAATTTGTGGCGCTGGGTCAACGAGACATGCGGCCGCCTAAGTGGAAATAAGGTAAATTTAAAAGTCTTAAATGCTCCTTGTAGTACTTTTAACAATTAGGCTGAGATAGTTCTTAGTCAAATATTGAGCCCCATTGTATTAAGAGGAACTTTCTTGAGGGGATGGGACCCCAAATCCCAGGGCTGATCCCCACAGAATAACCCAGAGCCCAGGTCAGTACTCTTCCTAAATGCTGCTTTCTTTGTATTGCATTCCATTTCTGTCACCTCTGTGTACAGATATTATATTCTTTTTAGTGCCAATCATAATTGCCTATTACAGATTCCAGAAGGAACAAGTTTCCATTTTCTTTTACTTTGTAGTTAGTTATTTTGATAACTATTAATTTTGATATCATTTCAAAATTATAGAGAAGTGATGCTTTGTATTGCATTCCATTTCTGTCACCTCTGTGTACAGATATTATATTCTTTTTAGTGCCAATCATAATTGCCTATTACAGATTCCAGAAGGAACAAGTTTCCATTTTCTTTTACTTTGTAGTTAGTTATTTTGATATCATTTCAAAATTATAGAGAAGTGGTAAGAATAGTACAAAGAACTTCCACATACCCTATTCTCAGGTCTACCAGTTGTCTAAACATATTGCTATATTATTTGTGCTTTCTTTTTAAAAAAATATTTTTTATTGATTTCAGAGAGGAAGGGAGAAGGAGAGAGAGATAGAAACATCAATGATCAGAGAGAATCATTGATCGGCTGCCTCCCGCACACTCCACATTGGGGATTGAGCCTGCAACTGGGGAACATTCCCTGACTGGGAATTAAACTGTGACCTCCTGATTCATACGTCAACACTCAACCACTGAGCCATACTGGCCGGGCTGTGCTCTCTATGTGTGTATCTGTATATATTTTTTTCTTGAACCATTTTAGAGTGAATTGTGCTCCAGTATCCTTAAATACATCATTGTGAATTTCTTAAGAACAAGGACATTCTTTTATATAACCAGAGTTCATTTATCAAAATCAAGAATTTCAATAGTGGTACAATACTATTACCAAATCCACATTTGATATTAAAATTTCACTAGTTATCTCACTATGTCCTTTAGATCTATTTTCTTAGGTATAAAAATGTATAAATTTTAAACCACGACGAGCTCATACTGATTTCTCCAGTTCCTGTCCCAGCAGCACTTTCTGTTCTTTCCTTGTTCCATTGAATCATGTTTTCTCCAACAACAGAAAACCTGCCTCCTATTATTCTCAATTCCAGGATACATAGAAAGTACTTTCAATTACTAAACCCTACCACAACAAAAAACAAAGCGACTAACTTTGAGTTCAGTATTTCCTTAGAGGGTGTGTGTGTGTGTGTGTGTGTGTGTGTGTGTGTGTGTGTGTGTGTGTGTTTTAATTTAGACTGAAAGTCTGTAGTCAAAATTCCGTGTTGTGGAGTTATTTGGGTTGACTCCTGCCCTTGTTTCAACATGAACATGCTCTTCATGTGAAATGCAGTTAGATTTCACTTGTTGCTGGTTGCATTCTATGTTAGGGCTCTTCCCCACTCTGTAATTTTAAATAACACAAATTCCTACATAGTGAGTGTTCCACCTGTTCTTGTTATGTTGGAAATAAACCCCATTTTCGGCAGTGTGTAGCAGAACCCTGTTCTAATAGCTGAGTATCAATCCTTCTGCCCCCCGAATGTCACTCAGCAGGAACCCTCAGGAAGCAATATTAGCCGCACTCCCATGGAAGCCTCGAGCCAGCGGGAACTTTGCGACGGGGTCCTACTGCTGACCCTGGAAGAGAAGATGTTTTCGGAAGACCTGTGCTGGCCTGAAGGAGCGGGGATCTGCGGGGGCGCGTGTGCAGGCTGCGCCCAGGCAGAAGACACCAGGATGCTCACCTTGGTCAGCGAGATGGAGGGCGACTCCTTCAAGCAGATTCCCATGGAAGACGAGTACGTGGACCGGCCGCCCCAGACCCCACACTCCTTACTGGGCCTCACTGGGCCGGGAAGCAGATCCACACCCCCTTTCCCGGAGCCCCTGGAGGTGGGGGAGGATGACAGTTTAAGCCAGGCCTTCACCGGAACAGAGAGCCTGCCCGATTCCGAAAGCTGCAATTTGGCCAAGCCCCCGTGCAGGACCGATTGGATTCCCATGTCCTCCGAAAAGTACTTGCAAAAAGAAGTGGAGGGCGGCAACTGTCCCCACTGGGCGGCCTCCACCTCGGCAGATGGCTGCGCAGGCTGCGGGAACCCTTCTGGGGAGGACCGGGAGCCCTTTCTGGGTTCCCCCAAAAGTGGACCCTTGCCCCAATGCGCCTACGGCATGGGCCTTCCACCTGAAGAAGCAGCTGAAGAGGCGGAGGGCGGAGGCCAGCCCTGGAATGAGGCTGATGCACAGCCTCCCAGCTCCAGCAGGGGAGGCCCTGGGTCTGGAAGCCCCTCCAGTGAGCAGCCGCCTGCATCTGGTAAGTGGCTCTCTTGGTCTCTCCCTTCTGAGCAAAAAGGCCTGTTCATGGTACAGGGCTTGGGGGTGAGTGTCACCGGTCATTCAGGGAGAAGCAAAGCCGACATGGGAAACATTCAGCTCTCCCATTTTCTTTGTGAGGACTATTTACAGGATGGGTTGTGTCTCAGGCCTGGGGTTGGGTTTGTGAACTGTGCTACTGTCCTGTCTCTTCATTTCTACATGTCCCTTTTGTGCTCCGACCTCTCATGATGGGATTAGGCCTCAAAGTCCAGCATTGACCCCCCGAAGTCAACATTGACCTCAGGCCTGGCTGACAGCTAAGCATTCCCTCAGATTTCTAGTTTTGTTGTTGTTTTAAAGCTATCTAGGTCTCAAATCACCTCCCATAGAAGCTCTTATAAATTTCAGGAGAATAAACAAAATTGTGTAGTTAATCCTTATTAATTAATATTTATTGAGAGTAGCTTGTTGGTTCTATACCAGGTTAACAAAGCAGTAAAGTGTTCCTTAATGCTTTCTGTGAGAAATCCCTTCTGTAACCACCACATATATTGATGGCACCTGGAGAATAATTTTACAATTAAAAATCATTATAGAGATTTATTATGTACATTTACTGCACCACTGTTTGAGCATGAATAAAACCACCAATTATATTAAAAGTTTTTTTTTTCTGGAGGGGAAAACACCTTCTGTCTTATTATGTAGTTACAAGAAATCATGCTGCATGGTGAGGGCTCCCTCTCACTCAACATGTGTGTGGGGGTGAGAGTAGGGAGTGTCAGGATCTCATTGAGAATCTTCTGGAAGCTATAGACACTCTCCAGAAAAATGAATATATGGATATATACTATTTAAGGGGTTGCACAGAATCCTCTGACCCTCTCCCCCTCAAGCCCCCCCAAAAAGCCCGTCCATGGACTACCTTGACCCTGGGCTGTTTTTTCTTTTTCTTTCCAACCCTTTTATTTACTACAAGTGGTGCTAGCAGCCAGTCTTTGAATTATTTCATAACCCTGGATAGTTCAATCCCTGCCCTAAACACAGAGATGTCGCTGATGGTGCCCCTGGCTTATTTGGGAGAAGAGTGTACTTGAATCTGCTTTCTAAGTTTTGTGGTTTTGCTACAACCACTGATGTGTAAACTCTATAATATCAATTCTCAGTCAGACCCAGAGGAGGGCTATTTTTCAAAGAACTGATGTGTTTTTCCTTCAGAACACCTCCACAGTTTTTAAAGATGTTAAGGACTTTCCAATACTAAAAGTTCAGCTCTATTGTTCTGTTTTTGTTGTTGTTTTTTGTTAATCCTCACCCGGGGATATTTTTCCATTGATGTGTTGAGAGAATGGAAGGAAGGGGGAGAGACAGAGAGAGGGAAACCACAATGTGAGAGAGACACATTGATTGGTTGTCTCCTCTACACGCCCTGACTGGGGCTGGGGAATTGAGCATGCAATCGAAGTATGTGCCCTTGACCAGAGTCAAACTTAGGACTCTTCAGTCCACTGAGCCAAACAGGCTAGGGCTAGTCTGTTTCTTTTTAGTAGTGACTTTTCTTCCCATTGAACACTAGTGTGAGGGGCTGAGGAGAATGGGGAGGCAGAAGCTCAGCATAGCAGAGGCCATGGTAGGAGCAGACCGGTTTTTCAATTGGTGACACCAGGAAGGTGATGTTGGCCACAGTGTCAAAATCATCGACGGTTCCTGAAGAACAGTGCTGGCCATGTTTAAGGTGATATTTTTTTCTCAATGTCATGAAACCCAGAGCCAGATCTGTGTTCTCCCTTGACATAAAGTTAAAACGGTGCCCTTGTCTCATTTTCCTTATCTTTTATTTCTCCAGCTTTAAACATATAGGCTTGGAGGAAAGGGAAAGAAAAAGTGTGTCATCAACTAAGTTGTGTTAATTTCCAAAGAGCTTATGTTGCTTTTTCTGTCCCGTCTGGTGCTTAGTCGTGCAACACATCCGTAGAGATGCTGCCTGCGGATGCCAGCAAGCGGGCCAAGTTCATTTTTGCCTGAGCAGCAGCAGCAGCCAGATTGATTTTTGAGGCTGTTCCTTCCATAATTACTTCTACATGAACAGGCCTTCTGGTTTCTGGTCAAAATAGCACGTTCTCATTATTGCCTTTTTTTAATTGTCATGATTTGTGTTCTACAAAATGTGAGAAAGAGGATGAGCTTGGGTGAAAGATAAGAGGCGGTGGCTAATCCTATTTGAGCTTCTAGAAGACACTGCTCTCAGGACTTAAAGTGGCATTTTTATTGGGTGTTGGATTTTTATGTGTGGGTGTTTTAAAAACATAAAACCAGTTGAAGTGGTTTCTAGAGAAAGGATAATGACTAGTTACTTCCTCAGTAGGAAAGAGTATCTCCTTTGCACCGAGGATCCTTTTGAGGAGAATCATGGTTCTTCAAAGAGCTCTACCAGTCTATTTTTTAAAAGTAATACTCAATGTCAAGGCTATTTTAGCAATGTTATAACTCTTATTAAAGACCAGTGAGAATTATTAGCCAAAACCAATGAAGGGGGAAAACATAGTTTGGGTTATCTATAATAATAAAAGCGTAATATGCTAATTAGACTGGGCAGCCGAATGACCTTCTGGATGAAGTTACAGCTGCAGGGGCTGAGGCAGAGGCAGTTAGGGGTGATCAGGCAGGCAGGTGAGCAGTTAGGGCCGATGAGGCAGGCAGGCAGAGTGGTTAGGGGTGATCAGGCAGGCGAGCAGTTGGGGGCAAGGCAGGCAGCAGGCGAGTGGTTAGGGGCGATCAGGCAGGCAAGGGGTTAGGGGCGATCAGGCAGGCAGGCGAGTGGTTAGGGATGATGAGGCAGGCAGGCAGAGTGGTTAGGGGTGATCAGGCAGGCAAGTGAGTGGGTTGGAGCCAGCAGTCCCGGATTGCGAGAGGGATGTCCGACTGCCTGCGGGATCGGGCCTAAACCAGCAGTCAGATATCCCCCGAAGGGGCCTGGATTGTGAGAGGGTGCAGGCCAGACTGAGGGACACCCCCCCCCCAATGCACTGATTTCATGCACTGGGCCTCTAGTGTCATATATAATCATGTCTTAAATTTACATTTTACATTATTATCCTTTTGACATGATGTTGGTTACCTTGGTTACAAGCCCTTTTGCCTGGAGTTTGGATAATTCTCCCTATATCTAGAAAACTATTTCATGTCAAAGAAAAAACAACTGATTATATTTTTATTATTATAATTTTTTAAATTGTTGTGGCTTTTTTGTGTGTTTTTTTTCTAAATTCCTTCACCTTTTTCACCCAGCCCCACAATCCCTCCTTCCCTCTGACAACTGTCAGTCTGTTCTCTGTATCTATGTGCCTGTTTCCATTTTGTTACTTTATTTTGTTCCTTAGGTTCCACATATGCGTGAAACCATATATTACTTGTCTTTCTCTGACTAGCTTATTTCATTTAGCATAATACTCTCCGGGTCCATCCATGCTGTCTCAAAAGGTAAGATTTCCTTGTTTTTTTATAGCTGCATAGTATTCCATTGTGTAACTGTACCACAGCTTTTTGTATGGACCCTTGGGCTGCTTCCACATCTTGACTATTGTAAATAATACTGCAATGAACATAGGGTGCACATATTCTTTTGAATTAGTGCTTCAGGTTTCTTCATATATATTCCCAGAAGTGGAATTGCTGGGTCATAAGGCAGTTCCATTTTTAATTTTTTGAGGAAACTCCATACTGCTTTCCACAGTGGCTCCACCAGTCTGCATTCACACCAGCAGTGCACAAGGATTCCCTTTTCTTCACATCCTCGCCAGCACTTGTTCTTTGTAGCAACTGCTTATAATTAATGTGTCTCGAGCTGGCCAGTGGCTTGCTTTTGGCTCCTGAAATCACTTAGTGAGTCCAGCCACTCCTGAGCTGGAGAGAGTTGTTTATTTACAGGCCCACAATGATTCCTAATGAACCCCAGCTGCATATTTCTTTTTCTACCAAATCTTTATTGAGGGTCCACTGAGCCATGGAGACTTGAAAAAAGCTTGGGAACCAAGGAGGGATTGAGGTCAGGGAATGGATAACACAAAAGGAATCCATAATTTGAGAAGACAAAGCCCTCCATTGCCCACCTCCCTCTAGCCCAGTGATGGCGAACCTATGACACGCATGTCAGAGGTGACACGCGAACTCATTTTTTTGGTTGATTTTTCTTTGTTAAATGGCATTTAAATATATAAAATAAATATCAAAAATATACATCTTTGTTTTACTATGGTTGCAAATATCAAAAAATTTCTATATGTGACACGGCACCAGAGTTAGTTAGGGTTTTTCAAAATGCTGACACGCCGAGCTCAAAAGGTTCGCCATCACTGCTCTAGCCTCTCATCTGTTGTTCCCCTTCACCCACCTAAGTTTTGGCCAATGTCAGCCCCTTTTACAGGGACACCTCTCACTAAATTGTTCCCTTTTCCAGAGCACACAGTTCTAGTCCCAGCTCAAATGCAACTTCCTAAACCAGGGGTGGCAGGCATGCTGCTCTGTGGCTGCTGTCCCCTTCTGTACCCTGGGAAGCCCTTCACAATTGGTCCTGGAGTCTTTCTGACTGAGCCTGGTACATTCACACCTTTACCAACAACCCATCTCTTGGTAGCCACAAGCAATCATAGGAATTACTATGACCTTTGCCACACCGGACCTTTCCAATCTCCCAAGGTGGCTTGGTCCCTGTATGTTAAGTGTTTATAAGTGCATGCATGCATTCATTCATTCATTCATTCATTCATCCAGTCATGAATAACTAGAGCAGTGGTCAGCAAACTGCGGCTCGCGAGCCACATGCGGCTCTTTGGCCCCTTGAGTGTGGCTTTTCCACAAAATATCAACTTCTGCGCACGGGCCACGAAGTTTCAATCGCACTGTACGTGCGTGCCTGCATGTGGTATTTTGTGGAAGAGCCACACTCAGGGGCCAAAGAGCCGCATGTGGCTCGTGAGCCGCAGTTTGCTGACCACTGAG